GCACTATGTATAAGACATAATTTGCCTGATTAAACGGTGGAGAAAGGTGGGCTGATCTTGCAGACCTACAAAGCAATAAATGTCAATTCCAGCAGCAATACAGAGCAAGTGCATTGCAACAGGTAGCCCAAACCATTCACAAAGCAGCGAAAGTTCTCCCTGAGTTACAGCTTCACTGAAAAATAATAGCAAGCTCATTAATGCTGCTAGTTTGTTTCTCTTTTCTTTTTTCTCTTCTGTACAAGTAACATGGAAAGAAGAAAGAGGATAATTTCTCTGGTACTGAAGTGCTTTCTGACTGCAACTATTTCTGGATTCCCCACACCCAACATTTACAGTTTGATCACAGGAAAAAAATGTGTGGTTTGCATTTTTAGAAAAAAAAAACATCCCTCTGATTATTTTGTGCAGATTTGCATATAAATGACTTTCAGGCTCAGCATCCACCATGATGGCAAGTCTGGTTTGTGACTTCCAACTGTCTGTGGTCTCCAGGAATCACAGCAGCCTCTAGGTATTCTCTCAAGTTGTGTTTGCTTCGTTTGCATCTGAGCTCAAAGGCAAAATATGTTCTCTTCTACCAGACACCTTATTTAGATGTGATTTACATATGGGAGAAAAGTGTGAGAAATATCAATATTTGCATTTTAAACATGATTTCAGGATATCTGTCGTGGTTCATTCATCTGCTTTTTGGCTCTTGCATGCATTTAGTTCACTTCTGTTTGACTGCACAAGCATATGGGTCTCATTAGCTTAATGACGAGCTTATTTGTCCTTCATGCAGGCTGGCACTTCTTATCTGCAGGATGGGGAGTGTTAGGGGGGCTGTGTTCATATTCAGAATTATCCACATCATAGCTAACCTGACTGGCAGGTCATTGAACCCAAGGAGACTTCATGATCATCTTTGTTTTGCTCTTTTCAGGTCAGATGTGGCGCCTTTGTGCCAAGCAGAGGCTTTGGAGAGGGAAGGCATTGAGAACAGCTGAAGTGTTTCCTGAAAGTGCCTCAGGACTTGTGGCCTCCATGTTTTCATGTTCTGAGTGGGTTGTCTCGGCTCCAACGAGACTCACAGAAACAAACATCCCTCCTGCTGGATGAGATCGCATCCTTTTCCAGCAGAAGTCCAGCTTAACACAGGCATCATGTGTGCTGCTCACTGTCCCAGGGGACACAGGGGTGTCACAGATGCTTCCCTGGAGCCCAGGGCAACCCCCAGAGCAGTTACTCTGTAGGCCCCATGGTCACCTCCAGCTTTGGTTTAAGCTCCATGACAATTTCCCCTTTATGTCTCTGCAGGTTCCCTAATCCCCTCAGTGAGTTCCGCAGGATCCTGCCTCTGATAGTGACAGAAGTTTCCCTGAAGGAAGAGAGCTATAGACACATAAAATCATTAAATGACTAAGCCAACTCCTATAACACATTAAAAAACTCTGTGCTTAGATATGTTCTACAGCCTTGAAGCCCACAGAGAGAAGGTGGGAAAGGAGGAAGTGCTGCTTGGAAAAGCTACTGAGGAAATGAAGCTGCCGTCTGTGCTAAGGAAGTTCTGCCACAGCCATTTAACACTCCAGGCTGAGCCCACAAGCCCAGGAAATACATGGGTAATTCACAATTCACCACTTAGCAAGTCAGAGAGTCAAAGTGTCCTGAGCTGGAAGGGACAGACAAAGAATGTCAAGTCCAACTCCTGGCCCTGCACAGGACCCCCAGGATTCCCACCACGAGCCTGAGAGCATTGTCCAAACTCTCCTTGAACTCTGGCAGGCTTGGTAGCCTGGGTGTTGTGTGTAGTTCTAAGCCCCAGACCTATGCAACATTTGCAGGAACACTCCATGTCTCAGTTTTCACCCTAATCCAACTGATAAAAACAATGAAGCACCTTTGACCTTCCATTAGAGTTGTTTACTTTACTGCTTCCATGGCTAATTGTATTTCTCCTCTCACCTATCCTGCAGCCTGGGTGATGACAGATCTGGAGACATGACCCTTCCAGCACCACCTGGCCCTCTGCTGCTGACACCTGCCTGTGGCTGCCATCACAGACTTCTTCTTCACAGCAAATCCCTGTGGTGGTAACAATGTGGAAGCATTAACACCTAGCTGACATGCCAGAGATGAGAGAATTGTTGAAAACTGCAGCAACTGAATTTCTTGGCTCATCAAGTGGTGCTGCACAGCCTTCCCCTTCCACCTTCAGATTTCACACTGAAGTCTCTCACTTTATCTTTCTGTCATTCCATTGCTGCTGACAAACTTTAACTGTGCAGGAGGTTGTAGTGATGGAGAGTTGGTTCAAAAGCTCCACAAACCCCCTGCCACTGGGGCTTTCTAGCTTTTCACCTGCCCTCATTGTGCCTCCCAAATTCCATCTGGTAAGCCACCAAAATTATCTTTCTGATTTAAAGTCTGATTTAAAGGACATCATTTCCTTTCCATAAAAAACAACTTTGCAGCCTAAAGAGAAATAATACATGAGAAGGATTAAATAGAAAACTAGTTATGTTTCAAGAAATTGGTGCTGTGACAAAGAGCCATCAGCTCCCAAAAGCAGAGACACTTTCAGATTTCTGAATATAGCCAGCAGGGATATCTATAATAAGCAATTCCATTAAAATATATTTTAAAAAAAGAAAAAGGAAAAAAAGCACCCTCCAAACTAAAGTCTTCTATATGCAAGGGCAAATAAAGATGATAAGTTTTTATAGCAAAATTCACTTTGCTGCAGAAGGAATTTCCCTGGGGCCCAGGGATTACATGGCTTATCCAACCTGTCCTACTCCCTGTTCCCTCCTGCTTCTCCATCTCCCACAGGAGAAGCTCCACCAGCTCAGGATGCTCGAGTTCACAGGAGTCTGCATTCCATTGGGAACTTGGGAATGCTCAGGGACCCATTTCCATTTAGCTCAGAGAGACAAAGCAGAGTTCTGAGCATTTCCTCTTGGGGATGGCTGGGTTTGCACACATCACTGGCTCCAATCTAGGCGGATCCCAAAGGCAAAAGCTCTCCACTTCTCCCAAGACAGGCAGCTCCCAGCAGGCCACACGTGCTACAGTCCTCCAGTCTCCTGGGTGCTGCAAGTCATCTTTAGCTGTTTTCCCTTCATCACATACATGCCATTTTTATTGCTTTCCATGTCCATCTAGGGCTGTAATTAAATAGGTATCTACCTGGGAAAAGCCATGAAACGTGACACAGTTCTGGCAATGAGAATGCGTGCTGAGCTCAGAGCAGCCTCTCCCTGGGGTCCCTTCTTCTGTCATTTACCAAATCCACATTCTCTCTTAATAGATGACCTTAAAATGCAGGGGAGAGCTTCACTCATCTAGAAAAATAACAAAGCAGTTGGTTGCTAACACACTCCCAACTTCTCTCATTTCTGAAGTGCTGTGCACAGCTATCAGCTTCACAGGAGCTAGGACATGAGCAGTAAAGCAGTGGGTAGCATCATTATGGACCAACACAGAGAGGAGAGGAAATGAGGCTCACTTGACATTCTGTTTGTGCTTCTGGTATGGCAGTAACAAATGCAGTGAAAGTGCCAGGGCACCTCCAAGCCCAAAAAAGAGTAGAATCTCACCAGAATGGCAGGATCTAAAAACCAGAGGTAGTGACTCTGCAGTGCCAATATCATCAGTGCTTACAGCTGTGTTCTCTGCAAACTCAGGCAAAGTTAGCAGTGGTTTCAGTCATAGATGGAAGGTCCAAAAGAGCCTTAAAGTGGTCTGCTGTGGCAACAGAGGATCCTGCCTGGGAATGAGGCAATGTGAGCGCCAACAATGAGATGCTGCAGTTGGGGGCTGGTAAAATATGGACATGCACATATGAAATGGGAACCTGTGAGCACAGCCAGGCTCCCCAACACCTGCAGCCCCACCTGGGGCTCTCCCTCCCCCCCTGCCCTGGAGGTGCCTGGCCAAGGGCCTGACATCATGGTTTAACCTGAGCAAGCTGTTCTGTATCCCTTTAACTGACTGTGGCCCAATATTAGGAAATGTTCCCTTAATATTTGAAGAATTAAGGACACATGAGTAATGCAGCAGCCTGATCCATGAAATGTTCCAGTATACTTTCATTTTATCAAGTTTTTCCAAACACCTAATTTCACTGGAATACTCTGATGGAAGTGCCCATCAGAGGATGCAGTGGCTGTGACTGGAGCAGCTGATGCTGTCCTGGTCCCCGCAGGCTCACCTGGAGTGTGACAGAGAGGATCCTCACCGGGCATCTGTGACACACACCCCCACTCATGGGAGGCTGCACAGATTTTGGAACCCACTCACACAGGCTATTTGCATTGATTTAGAATTTGCAGTGAAGCTTTTCCCGGAGGACTGTCCACAGGCATATTGACACCGTCCCTGCAGCAGCATCTCCAGTCACTGCCTGTGCAGTACAACCCTGCCTGGGAATTCCCAGCTCTTCTTGCTTCTGCTCTGTCAAACCACAGGACTCCTTCTAATGCAAACCCTCCCCCTAACTGGAATTCCTCGAACTTGAAGAGGTTTTGGAACTCAGAAGATCATAGGGGGTTACTTAATGAGTTGCATGTCTTGTCTTGCTCCTGCTGGTTTTTGGTAAGATGACACCAGTCTGCCTCACTCGAAGTGTCTGTCAGCTGGGCACCCTCACCAAGGTGTTCAAGTGGTTGTGTTACAATACAGCTTCCAGACAGCTGGAGAATTCTTACCAGAAGGATGGCAGCAGGTACCTGAATTTTAGGGTCTGCTGTGTGCTAATTCTTGCTGAATTAACCAGAAGAAAAGAGACATTACTTGCCAGAAACCACCACACAGGCAGTCAATGACTGAACACTCCTGAGTTCATCTGCATTTCCCTTTCCCTTCACAACCATTAGTGTAAATAATTACTGACATTCTGTGCTGAGGACACTATCATGAATTTGTACTGGTATTTCCAAAACAATGGGTAAATTTGGGGCTTTTCAAAAGTATTTATATTTTCTAAGAAGTTTTTTGTGCAATACTTACCCTGGCACTGCCCATCCATAGTGGTGGAAAACGTAAAGCTGGGGCTGCACAGCACCTGATCCCACAGGACCCATTGTGCACAGAGCCTTCAGCTCCACTGACTCCTGTCAGTGACAGCTTTTTCCCAGTGCAGTTCCAGTTGGACACTTGGAAGCTGGCCTGGTGGAGTTTCATAATGCCCTGGGAATCCATAGGAAATGATAATGTATGCTCAGTTTACAGGGGGATTTTTTTCCTTTTTTTTTTTTATTTTTCTTATTTATTACTAGGACTACAGACTCAAATCTGGGAACTGAAAGTCAAGCTGGATTCCTTCCGGGACATCCTCTAGCTGTAAAGAACTGTACAAAAACCTCCCTTAAGCCTTTCTGCCTAATGAAAACAAACCCAAGCTCTGTCTCCTGAAGCTCTTGGGGTTGAATTGTTGGGAGGAGGAGAGGACAGGGCAAGGGCAGGGCAACCACCATGGACTGGAATTGTACCTTTACCAATGTGCACCTTCAGAAACTAGGTAGGGCTTTAAATAAGCCTAAATATTTTTAATATATGCTTTTTTCAGCAATGAAAACCAGACACTATTTCACATGAAAATTCAGGTGATTATTAGAATTGCAGCATTACTGACAGACTATCCACAGTTATTTAGACTGACTGGATAAAAGGCAAAAGCTTTGACAGAGCAAAACCAAAGGCTTTGTTTGGTTCTCTCATTTCCCTGCTTTAGCCCCAGTCTCATTTTCCAGCCTTTTCACCTCTCCCCAAGGATTTTATCTTGGAGGCTGATCTGAATTTTTGATTTTCCTCTATTTCTACCCAAGTTTCTATAATAAGCCTCTTGGACATTAATCACCCTGAGCCTCAGTCCTCTTTTTTCAACCCTTTCTAGGCCTTTAGTGTATAAAATTCTCTTTCAAGCCCTTGCTGTTTAACAAAGGTAAATGCTGTAGCTTTGCTTCCAGCCATCCTACTCCAACTGCCAGGCTGTCAGAGCAGTAAATACAGAAATATTTCACTTGGCAGTCCTGGCTGCAGTAAGAACACTGTTTTGTAAACTGAATTTAATGCCCAGAGAAATGAGTTTGTGTTTATAATGCAATACACAGTACACAGGGATGTATGCTCAGATTTCTGTACCTGTTATGGAAAGAACATTGCTACAAAAACCCCTAAAAATATTAAATCAATGTATGAGCTGGAGGCATTGCCCTTGGAAGATGAGGGACAGGCTGAAAAAAAGCTGAAAAAGCTGCAGTTTCAAAATATACACATGAAAATCACACCTCATTTTATTCATAACTAAGGAGATGAGATTATCTGAATAGATCCCTGAAATGCAAAACAAACTTACCCTTTTTTTACTGTAAGACAGAGATGACAAGTCTGTAAACAGTTGGATTTTAAAGAGTTGTGCCAAAAAATTGCTGAAGCTGCTGTTGTACCCTTGACAGGCAGACACAACCACATCAATATTTCCCATAAATCCTTATGTGGTGTGAAAAATAAATGTGGTTTATCCCACTCCTGGAGAGCTACATAGAAAATTGCTCCACCTCTATTCCAGAGCAGCTCGCCATGGTGCTGTGCAATGGAAAGACATTCCAGCACCAGGTCAGCTTGGGACTGTATTTCAAAAATGCTGGGGCCTTCCTTCATGGTTCAGGCTGCTGTAATGCAAGAAAGAACACCAGTGGTCTTCTTGCCTATCCTTTGGTGTAACCAGTCACAGAGAGCCACAAGGCAAATTCAGTGTGGAAGGCAGTTTAGCAAACAGTGAACAACTCACAAAAATCTATCAATCAATAACTAAGTAAACCCCAATAGTTTTTCACTTGTCCATAAGTGTGTCTAACTCGTACTTGACCAGAATACTCACGTCTTCAATAAAGTCCAGGGCTGTCAGGTCTAGCTCTTCTTTCCAAGGAACCAGCTCTCTGCAAGATCTCAGAAATCAGGCTGCTGCTTGGAGAGGAGAGGGAGAGGGAGAGGGAGAGGGAGAGGGAGAGAACAGGCTGTGGCAGTCAGTTCAATCATCTCATTCCCAGAGCTGCTCCTGCCATCCCACCAGAGCCCTGTATTCCTCACCCTCACATTTCCCAGCTGAGCAGGGCTGTTCTGGGGACTTCTTCCAGTGCCCAGGTGAGTTCAGACTCTCCTTTCCCCAGAACAATCCCTCTCCTCCCACTCTGTTCCCCTCCAGCAGCCCACACTGGCTGCAGACAGGGAACACATCCCTTTGATGTGTTCCTGCTCACAGCTCCAGCCATAGGGAGGCTGCTGGGACCTCATTATACCTGCAGCATCTTGGCCTTCAGTTTTGCACCTCTTCTTCCTCACTGCTCAGCTCCTCAGAGAAATTCTGCATGGCCAATTCATCAAAACAAGCACTTTGAAATGTGCTCTGGGCACATAGGGCATTTGGCCTCATGTCTCCCTGCAAATCCCAGGAACACTCACCTTCCAATCTTTTCCTTGCTGCAGGTTGGCTGCACAGTGCGCATCCTTGCAAGCTGGACTCCAGCTGGACTGTGGGCAGTACTGGGACAACACAGCCACCACTGCTGGCAGCTGAGGCAGCCCTAGAAATGACAAGAGTATTTTTCTGAAGCCAGAGGAAATGTTCTGTGGCCACAAATTATTTAATCCATCTTGTCTGAGGGTCTTTGAGTTTGGCTTTGCTTGTTTCTCCATGTGATGTGTGGAGAAGTACAGAGAAGTGTGACCATCCAGCTGGTTCTGGAGCCACAGAACATTCTGGAGGCAGGAGGAAGCTGAAGCTCTGCATACAGCAGGCTCTGAAATTCTCCTTTATCGCACTCACATTTCCCACTAACAGCAGAGGCATTTCTGACACAGCAGTGGCCAACTGGCAGGCACACACAGAGATCAAAGGCTTTCCTGTGGTCCATGGCTCTCCAGCAGATCACTCTCCATAGGTCAGGCCAGAGCTTTTTGCTGTGAATTCTGTGACCCCTGTGAACCTGCTGAATCAGGGCCAAAGAAATGTTTGTCCCATCCTTGCATCTGTAAAGCCTACAAAGAGCAAAGCTATTTGTCATTAATTGTTAACTATTCCTCTTGGCAAGCCAGTTTGCCTCCCACTTTTATTCACTTCTGAAAGAAACCTATCAAGAGCCCTTTTAGTGCAGCACTACAATGGGCTGATAGTATATCCCTGGTTTGTCTTCCAAATTCCCATACAAGCTATCAAATGTTGGCTCGTAGCAACAACTCATCCAGCCTTTCATCTGCTGAAACTTCTGACTGGTTTTTGTCATAGCCTGATATGTCCATCTGTGAAGTTATTTCTAATATAAAATTTACACTTCCTTTTTACTTAATGTCATGCTAATTGCCTTTTTACTTTACGTAATTAATTTCTTCTCACTTGTATTTACAAATTTCAAATATTTGTTCCATTTTACTCATCCTTTAAGCACCCAGTTTGCCTTTAATGAGAGAGGGAAGCAGCACAGCCATTGCCTTTTTGCTTGGGAAACTCATCCAAGAGTCATCATCAAATGAACGTGCCAACAAGGTCCTCTGGCAGGCACTACCTAAAAATAACTGAGGATTGCAGAAGACCCACAAACACATGTCTGAAATTCACCCCTCCACTTCTTTTCAGGTGTGAAGAACCTCCCTTCTCCCAGCAACTTGAGTTTAAGTTTTGATTGTGACTTAATAAATCTGGGAGAAACATTCCTATTTTAACTTACAGAAACATTAGCAGGAAAATAAATAAATAAATAATGAATTACTGCAAAGCCTGAGCTCCTCATAAAGCACCCAGTAAATGTGGTCTCCCCAGGGTGAGAGATTGGCAGAGCCAATCTCAGCCCTTTCTGGACAGCTGGCTGCTCTTTTCCCTCATTTGTCAATGCCAGAAAAGGTCTTTTAAAAAGCAATGGCCCAGGATAAACTTGTAATTAGAAATGCTGTCTATTTATGAAATATTATTTGATATTCCTGAGACACAGACTCAGAATAACCTCTTTTGTAAACACCCTTTGATTTTGTCACTGACTTGAACATTGGTCTAGTGATAGAATTTGTGTCTCATAGGTGATATTATATCAGGGTTCATTAGTAGGAGCAAACACTTCTCCCGATTTTTGAAGACAGTTGCAAACAGAATTTCTTCACTACCTTCATTAAATGATTGAAGCAATCCAAGTTGGAAATAACATGATACCACATAGAGCATAATTACATAGAGAACACATTAAAAATTTAATGCAAAACCAGCATCACTACATAAGCCCAAACCAGCACAGCAGTTTATCAGAGCACTCTGTACATGTGCATCAGTCTAATCTGCAAATTCTTGGAGAGAAAAAGGCAGTGGATGATATTTCATCACTAGCCAATACCTTTGGGCAATATTCTGTGTTCCTGTCAAGTTTTACATTAGATATATTGTACCTAGGGAATGAGAAAGATGTAAGAGAAAAATCTTGATGACAAAAAAAAAAAATTATGTACTTTCTTTTGAGTTAGTAGTTCAGGAAATGCCTTCAGGAGCTCAACTTCAATTCTGTGGTAGAACGCTGGAAGTTCATGCAGCCAACACTCTATGGAGCCCCAAGTGGTGTTAGAGATCCCAAGACAACACTTACCAGGCAAGAGTGGATTTGGCCTTTCTGTTCTTTTTCCTCTTTTCCTTTCTGTTTTTCCCCCTCATAGCCATGGGATCCTCTTGGCTGGCCTCCCCCTGCCCCAGGGCACAGAGGAGCTGCCCAGTGACCATCAACAGGCCCCTTCTGCCTGGAGATGCAAATCACAAGGTGCTGCAGCCGTGCTGGCAGGAGCATGGGGCTGCTCTGGCAATAAAGCACAGGGGAACCTCTTTATTTTTTGGTACCAACAACCAGCTCTGCTGCAGCCTGACAAAAAGCCTGGGAGATGAGGCTGGTTCTAGGCACTTCCAGCCAAGCAGCAGGAATGAGCAAGAGGGTATTTCACAAGGAGCCACTGTTATGCTGTTCACCTTGATGACTGCAAGGTCAAGAGAGGTTTCCCCGTGAGCTGTTTTGGGTGCTGAGGTTCTCAGAGTTGCTAGGGAGCTGCTGCAGCAACAAAACATCAATTCATATGGATAAACCTTGGGATGGATCATAGAATCATGGAGTGATTTGTGTGGGAAGGGACCTGAAAGCTTATCTCATTCCACCCCTGCCATGGGCAGGGACACCTCCCACTATTCCAGGGTGCTCCAAGCCCTGTCCAACACTTTCAGGGATGATGCTGAATTCCTCTCTACTCCCGCTCACCATGGGTGTAAGATAAGTTTTGCTCTTTAATGCGACTGTTGCTTCTTTTCCATTATTTCCAACAAAATTAAACTAATTAAACTGAATGCACATTATACTGGAGGCATATGGGTTTGTGTTGTTTTGTGGATGGTATTTGACCCTTTTCCTTCTCACCTACCTCCACCATTGCATCACAGTGCTAGGGAGTGCTGTGTGACACTAGATCACAGCTTTCATCCTCTCCCTTCATCTTTATCTGCCTTTGAAGTGGCTGTGATGCTGTGGCTCTCCCCAGAATAAAGGCATTCTCATTCCCTGACACACTGCACTGCCAAGGAATTTTGTCTCCCAGACTGACTGCAAAGGGAGGAATCATCACAAACTATGTGCAATTTATGGTTTCATTGATTCTTGCCACCAACCACACTAACAGGCATTTATCAGAAAGGAATGCATGATCAATTAGTCACAGGAATAAAAACAAGGGAATAGACTCTTGAAATGAAAAGGAGGTTATTCCTGCTTAAACATCAAAATGATGCTGGCTCTTCTTTGGATGATTAGGTGGAGAATTTATAGGAGATAATGTTAAATGTTCAAAGGTTTCCCACTTAATTGTGGGAAAAATGGTAGTGGGTGCTTTGGTGGGTACCATGAAACTGCTGCCAGGGTGAGACATTCTCCCAAGATTTAAGCAATGAGCATGAACTTTTAACTCTTACTGCCAAACAGTCATTAATTGGTACAGTTATTAGGGGGAATTTCAATGTAAAAGGATGCTGAAGTCCAGCTCTGGGGCAGGCAGAGACAGCAGCACCAGCCCTCCTACATTTCGTAATTGACCAAGTTTCCACAATCTTGCCTCAGAAAAGGCTGTGCTCAGGTTCTGCTGCACTGCAGCACTTCAGCACAGCCCCATAGAACCAAGTGCTTATTTTAGACCCCTCAGCCCATGCACACCCCAATGCCAGCATCCCTCCCCTCTCACAAGCCCCTCTGTGTCCCAGGCAGAGCTGGGCTCCACACACACAGGGTTGTTTATCCCAAAGGTTCTGGTGATTTCCTCAAATTAGACCCAGGGCACGGCGTTTCCAGGTTAAAATATTATAGCTATAAAAATGTTGATATGAGAGAAATATTCCCTGTGGATTTTTAAAGCATTACAGAGTCCTTCCATGAACTATTGTTTATATTGTTTTCTTAATGGAATGCAGCTGGCTTAATGAATTGAAATAGTCAAGAATAATGTATTCAGTGACTGATGGGGAGGAAGCATCCCAAATAATTTATTTATATTCTATGACACTGATCTACTAATGAACACATTTATTAATAAAAAATATGCTCAACAGTGATGGTGAAAATCAATCAAACACATTATTAGCAATTATTATTCCACCATTTCTAATTGAGAGGTAAAATGTCCTTTGGCTGTAGTGTCTCTAGAAAGTACAGTCAATTATTCAGGTAACAGCACCAGAAACAGCTCACATTTCAGAGGCAAAGGATGCATAAAATAATACCAATTAAACTCATTCTAGCTAAAAATTGCAGTATTTGCCTTAGGGTTTCTGCTACTTTCTAGTTATTTTGCATTAATTATTTGGAGTAATGCTTACACAGAATACCAACAGGAATTTGACAGGAAATTAATGCTGAGACTCCCCCCAGAGATCTTAGATGTTGCTAAGCCCGTTTTTCCTTACCCAGAGTTAATGAATAATCATCTCCTTGGCAATAGTTCCTGCAATAGAGACTTGTACTTTGGTTCCTGTTAAATATAGAAAAATGAAGTGTCAGATAACGTTGGCATCAGGGGGATTTATCTAAATGTGATTTATCTAACCTTAAAAATAAGGTTCACTCACTTATTAAATTATAAAATGTTTAATATAAACAAAAAGACAATTAGAAGACAAAGATAATAAAGCAAAGGGTTAAAATGGCTAGGTGCCCTGGCGCTGCCAGGAGCACACCTGATATCTTTGGAACACCCTTTTTATCCCATTTTGCTGGAGGGTTTTAATGCATATTCAAACTTTTCTAAGAACTAGTTTGCATGGCCATTCCCCAGGTCCACCTTTTTAGAGCACACACATTTGTTCTTAATTTCTCATTTATCTTCTTTTTATTTGGGCTGGGGTTCTTTCTTCTTCAGGTGGTCAGTGTTGACAGCAGCCTGGTCCCCATAATTTGTTTCCTGGAGGTTGTCTTGCTTTGCACAGATAGGACATTGCCCTAACGTTCAAAATTCTTCTTGACCTACACCTAAAATTTGCTAGCAGGAGAAAAAGACATAGCAAAAGCATATAACATATAACATTCATCTTAATACTTGTGAAAGCAAATATCACAATATGGATTTAAAACATAAAGCAAAGTAAATATCCTCCATGCACTGAGTCACTGCTCCAAACTGCTCCCAGTATTGCTATAGCTAACTTCAGATTTGGGAAAGTTTTCTCTACAAAGAATGTTTATCCCTTTTCAGTCTAAAGATACTTTTATGTCTCTTTCACATGC